CCTCCTTACATTTGACAGAATTCTTATTTTCTGTGTTTACTTACTTCTTTCTTCCTATAATCCCTTCATTTCCTATTTATACAGAGTGGTTCATCTAACTTATTAATATTAATAAAGAAACATGGTCTAAACTATGTCATGTTTTTCATCATTTAATCTCTTATTTACAATCTACCTAACCCAAACCTTTTTATGCAGTGTTTGATACTATATCGAAACACGGGAAGAAATATTGTACATTCTATTTAAAAAATTGACGATGACTGTTATATCTTGATAAAAATATAATACAGTAAAACACATATTATTACATTACATTACATGTCCCCCTTAACACCAGGCAACTTTTGTTTAAAATAATTTGTTAAAAAGCCAATAATTTACGAATAATTGAAGTGGTCACATCTGATAAACCATCCTGTATGTAACAAACTTTTCATTCTTTCTGTCTGCTTACTCTTCACGTACACTTTACAATTCATCCGAACCAACTGAAGTTAGGTGTTGATCTTTTAGGGTGCGTTTATATTGGAGCTGCAATAACAGCGAAGAAAAAGAAATATTTATTTCTCGTCGCTCTTATCGTTCATCGTACAAACTGCTCTAACATAAACACTTCCATTATAAAACAATAGATTGTATTTCTACACTTTCCTTTATCACCGCTCCGATCGTTTATCGCAGCTCCAACATAAACGTACCCTTACACGGTCCCCGTAACTTAGACACCTTCCCACGCGTCTTCTTTACCACAAAATTCCACGGCAAACCTGTCTCTCACACCACAATAAAATCGTCGCACGAAAAGGACAAAAGCCTCAACACCAAAATCCCTGCCGCGACATTCGATTCCCCATTGAAACGGACAAAAGACGCGCGTCCGTTCAAAGTGGCTCGATCGGTACTCGCCGAAATCAATTCGCGGCGGCGGCTGCTGGTTCCACGGTTCCGCCGTTTCCCGAACAGCTCCACGATGAATAACGATCCCCGGTCCATAGGCGTGTGATTCGCCTCGAAGTTGTCGGGGAGTCAACTTCGATGGTCGTTCTTGGCTATCGACCAGTCGGAACTTCCGTCGACACCACTAAATACAACGACGTAACGGCCGTTCAATTCGACGTGTCGTCGAGCCATACAGACACACACACACACACACATACATGGAACAAGTCGTCAGGTATACGAATCGACCAGTTGCCCCGAACAAGTATTCCCCTTTCGTAGACCGTGCATTCAATGCGTAACGTCGCATCGGCACGTTTCTATGAACGCGTGTTGATTCCTATATCGACTTGTACATATTTTTTTTCTTCCTCTGCTTTATTTGCCTCCTTTTTTTTTTATTACACACACGCGTCACGATTCCTATTGATCTACTTTTTTTTTTTCTTCTTCCTCTGCTGTATCTCCGGCCTGTTTTATTACACACACGGTGACGGTTTCACCGTGTGTGTAATCAGGTACGAGCGTTATTCACCGAAAAGAGGTTCTAGCATCTACGGTGCAACGAGTCTCGGATCACGTAGGCGTGGCAACGGTCTCGTTTCGCGTGAGGCTAGCATCGATACTTCTAATTAATCGCGCCCACGTTACGACCTTGTGACGCGATACTTTTAATGCTCGAGAGACACATCCCTAGGATGAATATTCTTCATGATCGGTATTGTCGAACCGTTCGTATTGCTGTGGAACGCATTCCCATCGGTGTAGTATTTGCCGCGGGAATTAATCGAACCGGCCGAGAATAATACTCTGGAATACTGATGATCGTTGTCCATTAATATAGACGCGGTGAACGGAGACACGTAAAAGAATTGTAATTGCTCCAGTGAAGGCTGTGAAATTTGCTGATTGGAGAAGAATTGGAGGAGAGGACAGAGGAGAAATATGATCATCCTGGTATTGGAGACATGTAATGAGAAGTTCCTTCGTTATGTTTAATGGGTTGGGAAACCTAAACCCTAATAGGGGTATTCGAAGATCTTTGTTTAAGTGTGTAGTATTTCTCGTAGGTGGTATTCAATTTCATTATAGGGATACTGCTTTCCAGTACACCTGGTCTGTATAAAGAAATGTAATGTTTCATAAGAATTATATACTTCGATCCACTTTTATTACTTTGCAGTATCATAAGTGTTTACCTTTATATCCCTAAACAATATTTTTTTAGAATTCAATAGTTTTCTGTTGCTTCATTACATCGACTTCATATTCGATAGGTGTCTTAATACTTATCAACGGAGGTGTATGTTCATATTTTCACGGTATAATATCGTTACCCACTATCGAAGAAAGAATTTCTTGTTGATTCTTAAAGAAAATAAATTACATGTTTTTAATTTGCGAATCACTTAAAGTCGCTGTACAGTTTACTAGTATAAAGTTTCAACCAATTCAAGCAGCCCCTGGGGTTAAGATAAAAATTCGAAACTGTTCCCGCAGGAAAGTCCAAGTTATAATTACTATACCCTATAACTGACAAGAAAGAACTAAAAAAAAATCGTGAGCCAGCAGCGTTACAGTTAATACACTGCGTAACCAGGAAAAAAATCTTCGTTTTTGTAAACATAACATTAAAAATGGGAAAAATGACTTTAATTTACTCTTGACTGTTCGAATGAAACAAAACAAAAAATATCGTGTTACAAGATTGAACCTTTTACAGTCGTATTTACATCAGACCTGGGTACCTTACTATTCAAAATTATTTTTCATTAAACGTACGCTAATTGTATGAACTCTGGTGGTTGAGAGCAGACATACGACCGGAACGGTAAAAGTGCTGCGGCGGCTGAGAGTAGACACACGACTGCCATGGGTTAAAATTGAGTTTCCAAACCTTTTAAAATGCTCGTTGCTAGTTTCTAGTAGCAAGTCAGTTCTGAAGCTCTACTGTTGTGTGTATCGTAGCGAAAAGAGAAAACCGTCTATAATAATTGATTTTCAAAGGCTTCTACCAAAAATACCACAAGAAATTATATTTCTAAATATTTTAGAACATTAAAATATGGTTTTCCGATTGTGTCTCATTTCTTGATGGGACAAGAATACTAGAGACATGATACTGGAATAAGCTTAAGGGACATTTTTGAACAATGTTTTTCCGAGCGCAGCGACACGGTAGTCCACTATGCATTCTATTAGTTCCACTGGACCGTGGAATTAATAAAAATTCTGTCACCAGCGTGAAGGCTTTCACTGGCAAAGGGATACAGCCGAACTAGCGTGTCGCGAACCGAGGTGTTACGCGTATATAGAGAGGAAAAATTTTACGCGCGGTAAACACGAGTCGCAATTGACGACGACAGGTTGCGAATTCACTGCAACGAATGACTCGACGTGACGGTTGTTTAGACGTACGAGTAATTTCAAACCGGAAAATATTTCCGTCTCCACGAAGAAAGAGAGACACTTCCTCGCAGATTCTGTCGAATTCGTCGACCAGTCTCTCTTCCAAGTAACAGAAAAGTATAACAGCCATAAAAGAGGGCGCGAACGATACTTTTATTATTGCGATAAAACCAGTTACTTGCTCACTAGGTTGGGAATCAGCAACAGGTACAGATTCCTTTTCACCGATCGTGTGTACAGCTCCAGAAAAGTCCCTCGACCTAGGAAGTAATCTTCCTCCGTCCCACGCGATCCAATATTCAGCCCCACGATCTTAATTTCAACGTTTCACTTAACAGAGTTGTTCCGGAGTAACGGTCGCGATTTAATTTTCACCGAAATTCCCGCCTTATCCCCTCTAAATACCTCCAAGTTTGCTAACTGGCCGGGTGGAAAGGTTAAGAAGATTTCGGTCACGGATGCAGCTCGAATCGAGCGCGCCTCAAGATCGAGAGTGGCAATATCGTCGCGGGGGCGTTTGGAACAATAGAAACTTTTAACCGGCTGTGCGCATTCGGCCAAGATTCTTGGACGACTCTCTTCTCGTTTCGCCAAAACACGAGGGGGACGAAACGGAATAAAAAGTAGAAGAAACTGTCTGGTCGTGGGAGAGAAGAGTGAGGATACAATTGAACAATAAGGAGGAAAGAAGTGTACGGCCCGGTGGAAGGGGTTCGAGCGGGTGCGGATCTGGCTTAATAAAGAGGCTCCCCGTTCACGAACGTCCTTCCCATTGTCAGGCGGGGGTGGAACACTTCGCGAAAATTACCCGCAATTAAGACGATGCCGTCGAGCAGAAAGGTTGTAAGTGGGCCAACGTGGTTACACGGACGATTGGTAAACTTCGAAGGCCACGTCTAATATCAGATTGTTGGCTACGTTGTTTACGAGCCCCGCTGAACCCTTGTAAAAGTTGCCAAGTGAAACCATCATGCTACCATTCGATGATCCATCGCCCTGAGAAATATTTATTGGTCGGTGGATTTTATTTGAATACGATGCGTAACGGTTACAGCGGTCTCACTGAACATGTTTGAGAAATACTATACACGTATAGTTAAAGTACTTACTGAACACATACAGGGTGATTCATAAGTACATATCAATACTTCAAGGGGTAAATCTACACACTAGTATAAGTGAAAAGCGTCATACGCACATTTTTCCTATATACTTTAGTTTTTGAGTTATAAATGATTAAAGAAAATGTTCAAAATACCCATCACGTGCCTCCACACAAGTTACTGCACACTGTAGCATTAAATGCTACACTCATTCGAAAATACCAAGTATACTTCGAATAGTCTTAAATACGTTGTGTATCCTTTCTTGCAGATCATGCACATTACTCACTTTTGCGTTGAATACACAATATTTGTAAATGGCCCCAAAAGTAAAAGTCTAGTGGGTTGAGATCGTGCACGTCGAACATTATCTTACTTATCGACTTTATCTTACTAGAAGGAATTTATAATAAGAAAGAAATTCTTGTAATCTACAACTGCGTCCAGAGTCTGTCGACAGTGTACGTTAAAAAACGAACTGAACTTACACCTATTAAGAATTTAATTCCTAGTTTCATTATACATGTTACGTATAGACAGACTCACCGTCGATGTCGATCTCCTGCAACATGGTACGCAGCTCCTCGGCCCTCGCGAACTGTCCAAGTGATCGCATCACCCTGCCCAGCTCCTCCTTCGTGATACTCCCGTCGCCATCCTTGTCGAACAGCCTGAAAGCCTCCCTGAATTCTACAACAATAAAATTCCACGCGTTTAATACACCAGGATCGCATTAATTCCCACCCTCGTCGCGTATAAACGGCCGAGCAAAGGTGCACGCGCTTTATAACAAGCAGGATACACTGAAAGAGAAAAGCTCTGAGTACCGAAACGCGTTCAAGACCCGTGACGCATAATGTCGTGGTAAAGAGGTTCGTTCCGGTCTTAATGCAGGTTGGTCCAAAATAAAATCATATGGCGATTAATAATTACCCGAGACCACGACTTTCGTTATCCAAAAAAGGCCCTTTCTCGATGGTAATAGAATTGAGAACAATGCACTGAATGATGTATAATTGTGTAGTATACATCAAAATTGTAAAAGATGTTGTTTGCAGTTCGTAACACTTAACAAACATCATGAAAATTTACATTTTGGGACAGATCTCTTTAAGGGTGGATTTTACCCCCTAACCACCCATTTCGATAGAAGTGGTTAAAAGGTTTAGAAAAAGGTCTTCGATAAAGCAGTTTAAGGGATCAAAAAATAGAAAGTACAGTAAATTCTTTATAACTGCTCGGAGAGATCTTTAAAATGCAATTCATGAATTGCAGAAATTGTGTCTCTCTACGATAACTGCTCAAAGGGGGCCGTGTTTCAAGTGTTAATCGAAGCTTTACTATACAACTTTTAAAATAGGTGTTCGTTTCATCAACTTTGGATGAATTTCAACAACATTATGAGAGTTTAAAGATTCAGCAAATTTTAAAATAGTTATGTCCGGCTTTTCAGTGAAAAATACCTCACTGAACAACAGCTCGAAGGGATCCCGCGAGAAATTCTTCTCTTTTGATGTAGCTAATTGCTTGACCCGAGTGAAATCGACAAAACCCCGTGATAGAGACTGGATCACAATCGTGGAAGACGCCGGAGGAATCGTAAAGCTCGCCCCCCAACCGACAGGTACTTGGCGTATTTTTTTTTTTTTCAAACGGTTCGATTTACGAGGCACGGTCGTTCGAGCTGATTAAATGCTCCGGTCGATAACATTCCGCGATGTTTGATGCCCGCGGCGGTCACGATGAGGCACAAGGGACACAACCGGCGCGCGGGTCAGACATCGGTTCGTCGGTGCTTGACTCGACCGTTTAATAGCCTCGTTTCACGGCCCATTGATTTTGCACGTACCGGAGGCTATGGTTTTCCTATAAGCGCACATTCCGCGCCCCGCAGCGTATCCATGCGCTATTGTGCCGAGAGGACCAGAGAGAGAAAGAGAACGGAGAGCTCGAATAGAAACGAGAAGCCACGTGATTTTTCGCTAATGGATAACGGTCGAAGAAAAACCGCGCAGGAAGAACCGTCGACAAATAGGTTCTGCTTAACCCGGTTACGGGTTTGCGGTCTCGCGTTCCCTTTTTACTCATCGTTTTCCACTGCCCCCTCCCCCTCGCGGTACTCGTTCCCCCTTTTTCTTCTTCGAACCGTATCTCTCGAGATAAGTTCTACGATAACAGAGGATACTCGTAAGCCATGGGCACGATTAGGGATGATTTCTTTGGATAGAGGTATTACAGGTGAGTATCTCCTAGACTGAATTTTAAACGTCGCTTGAGAAATGGTACGATGTAAGTAACGATCGAGTTAAATCGAGGATTGAGCGATTGGATTCTGTTCGTCGTTCGAGTCTCCAGCTGGAAGCAAAACGTTTAGGCGCTAAAGCACGCGAAAAAGGTCGTGGTGACAGTTATTGGTTCACGCCAATTGTCAAACGCTGATCAATTGTCGATGTCAGAGACGGTTCTATCGTTCCGTCGAACGCGTCTGGTCATTGTAGTCTGCGTCTTCGTTCGCTCCTGCTTTTTTTTTATTTCTTTTATCTATATTCGTATTTGTTTTATTGTATTTGTCTTACGTTCGTTTCATTCTTTTATATTTATATTATGAACCCATTAAGGACCAATGCTCATTTGCAATATTTCGTCAGTTAACTTACATCATTGAATACTATTTTCTAACATTGGGGTTATGAAAGAGAATCCTAGAAATTGGCTTAATAATCTTTTCATCACTATTTATTGTTCCATTTAGGTATGTAATTTTGCAAAGAATAAAAAATCTTATCACTTCACTGCTTGGTCCATAAAGGGTTAATAAGTGTTACAGTACCCGAAGATTGTGAACACCCTCCTGACCCACCTAACTGCCATATCTCGTATGTTTATTTACAACTGGTGACTCGACTCATTGAATTTAGTACAGTATTATTAAGAATACACTCGTTTTGCTTCTACGAGAATGATAGAATACACGAATCCCGAATGAAGTTCTTTCCGAAGGGAAGATATGATGCAAGTAAATGTCTCTTCAAGGACATGGCAAGTGCTTTCCGTGAAAAGCTTGTTAGTTATTGGTACAGAAAGTAACTCCGCCACGACGAATATTCGAAGTTTTTAATGCGAAGCTACGCGCTTAAAGTTCCTCGATAGCGTCCCAGAAAAAAGAAAAAAGGAATGGAAGCTGCAGAATTTAAGTCGTCGACGCGTGTGGCGTGCCTTTGCAGCAACAGAAAAGGCAGATTCGCGTCCTCGAGATACGACGCTGACAAGATTTTCTTTTGACTCGAATTCCGTTTGGCGAGATCCCACGCTTTTAACGGCGTCACTCGCTCGCTCATCAGTGGCCGACCTGGCGATTTCCACTCGGTCCCGTGAAACGACTTGACGATGAAAAATCGTTTTTACAGCTGTAAAAGCCCGTTTCGGATTCGTTGAAAGTTCAATCGTCACCCGTTTCCTATATTTTCTTTTAGCTTTCTTATTTAACCGCGGCAGATGGGGGACTGAATAGGATCGGATATAAAGTTTCGACTCGTCGGCGTTGGAAAGATGGGAAAATCGAAACAAGAAATTCGTACTTCCGTTCGGTGGCGACGCGTGCGTGTCAACAAATTCAATTCTCGCGAGACCTCGCGTTAATTGGATATTTAACCTCGCAGCGGCTACGATCTACTTGTTAACGGACGATCGTGATGGTGAACGAAATGCCTGGATCTGAACGCGTGTGACGTATGAGCGTCGCTACGACGGAACTAACGAACTGATGGGAATAACGTCGAGCGAACGCGGCTCGCTGAAAATATCGGAAATACAATTTTTCGATTCGTCTCGAGGGAATGGTTTCGAATATTGCGAGAATATTTCTTCGAAGACTGAAAAGGAAACTCGTCATCGTGTTGTACTGGATTTTCGAATTTACAGGAACAGTTTTAACGATGGAAATATGATATTTTTAGCGAAACTTAAGAATATGTAGAATGCTGATGACTGAATACCTACTCAGTAGAATTTTGACTAAAAATGAAATTAATCTGTTTTCCGTTTACCGTAGGTGGATATAATGAAATGATTCAAGAACCTAGCATTTTGGTAACGAAATGACATCTTACATATGTGGAATGTTTGAAATTAATTATAATAATGATTCAGGTTAGTAAATATGAAACCGATTTACCTACCATAATACACATATAATGGAACTTTGAACATATTGGATAATGTATATCCATGACCCAGATCAGAACTTTCAAGGTAATTGTTCCAATAATAGGTTACGATGCAGTTATCCTGCATACAAGGTTATTTAAATGTTTACCCCGCGACATTTGTCTGACTACTTTCAGCAAATATACTTAACTTCCAAGAAGAAAGTAGACTCTACTGTTCCAGCACCTACGTCAAATTGAAGTGGAACATTCGCTTTAAATGTAACGTTAATATTTTCGTAAATCTCAGGAAAAAAGAAATTCCTCGATATACTTCTCTAAATGAATTAATTGAGGTGGACTTTGTTAGATTTTGAAAAAAATTCTGAATCAGTTATTCCCAGCATTATTCTGTCAATTATCTAAGTGAGTTTTCATTGAAGAAAAATAATACAATGCTCTAGAGAATACAGAAAATTTTCTAAAATCCCTTGTTCCCACGTTAAAAAGCGTCCCTACCGCTCAAATGTCATCTCTGCCTAGAGTACTTATATGTTCGACGTGCACCCCATTCATTCCGACAGGCGTTTCAACACGTTTCTTCGGAGAATGTCGTACAAGCGCGGAGGATTCCACTCGATCCTCCTATTTCCCGACAACAACGTTGAACATGCTGAATCAGCTCTTCTACCATATCAATGAATGCACTTTTAACCACAGAAATACAGGACTAAATACAAAATAAACTTCGTGTAATTTACACAGAACATTCTTCTCCAGCAATACTGTTTGAAAAGTGACTATCGCAAACACTTCCACGCGTCGTAAATATCTATTTCCAATTTCATTCCCCTGAACTCACCTTTCATCTGCGACTTGGTTATGTTCGGTGTTTTATTGGACGAGACAGGGGCCGGTCGTTTCGGCGATGCGGGCAGGGAGAACAGGACGTTCGTCGACAGCTTGCTGGTCTCCGCGGACGAAGAGGCGGACGAAAACATGGCTGACGTGGTGGTCGTCGCACGCGACTGACCATCTTGCAGCTGCCATCGACACGGCGGCGACTGCGAGCCCGCCGCGGACGATATCGACGGACGTGATTCCGCGGGCAGGAACGACACCGGCCCTGACGTTCCTGTCACCGTTGACGTCGGTGTTGTCGGCGGCGTCGTCGTCATAGTCATCGTTATCGTCCCTGTTGACGTCCTAGGGGAACAGCCGCTCGCCCCTTCTTGCTCCTCGCTGTTCCCCACTGTCCCGCTGCTCTGTCTCGTCTGCAAACAGTTTAAACGAACCGAGTTCACCAAGATATCCCCGGTGAATTGCTCCTTCAATAATACATGCAGCGAATCTCCACGTTTTAGCTGTTGATATAGACTGAACAAAAGAAAGCAGACTTCGTCTAAGTGGGCTCAATTCAAATTTAAAAGGAAGGACATTTTTTCAGGTCCAGCGAGTGTATATAGTCACGGCGGAACACGTTTAACGAGGTTAACGTGAGAATTTTGTAGGTCAGGATTTAATGCTTAGCGACGGTAGTGGATCGGGCAGGCTCGATAGCCACAGGTGGCATGAAGCGTGTAGCGATGGACAGTCCACCGTGACATAGGGGAATAATGAAGCGCGGTTGGATAAAGTGCTGGGAAACGGAGTTTGGTATTATGCTTTTCTCTGGACAAAGGCAGTTGAATCCTGGTTATTGGTAATCGTATGGGTCGCGACCTAACACAGGTAGGCAAAGGTCTCAACGATCGTCGCGTCTGGGGCTGTTAATACAATCCACAAACCGTCACCAAAAGCCTTACTTCTTCTACCTCAAATTGCCATCATCACACAACATCTTTACATCAACCAAAAATTCGCCATTTCCATCACTACAGAAATACAAACATCAGACAAACCACATTCAGCCATCGAAAAAAACACATTCGGCTGTCAAGGAGAACACATCGATCATTTAGATCAGAGGTGTCCAACTGCTACTCATGTGCAAATCGTCCCCTCCGGAGGAACCCTTACTGTGATCGTCAGATTGACTCGCTCAAGTGTCCCAATCGTCTTCCAAACACGACTTCAGCGTCTTAGCCTGAGTCCCATAGTGAAGGTACTTTCGGAGGGGAAGATTTGCTCGTGAGCAGCAGTTGGACATCTGATTCAAATCAAACATGTATGTACACACACATTACAAAACATGTTTGCTAGATTCATTGTAGTTTAAGTGTGTTACCAAGATGTATCAAATTATTCAAAATCACATCATTCAATTTATTCAAAATCATATCATTCAATTTATTCAAAATCACATCATTCAATTTATTCAAAATCAACATTCGCAATCATATCATGATCCAATGAGCTCACCGATATTAATTTACACTGGGACAGACAGCAACACGGTGTGGTTTGATGTAGGAAGAAATAAAACGCGGGTTAGCAGAAATTTTCCTCATTAAGTACCCTCGCGAATCACATTACCGGACCCTGTGTAATAAAAAGCTAATACGGATAGGATACGTCGCGTCGAGAACTGGGACGAAGTTGATGTAACTGGAGCGGAAAAAAGTACACATAGTTGTGGTAACGATCACGAAGTGTCGAGGATCCGCAGTTTCACGGCCATAAACATGGAGGCACGTTCCGCAGGCGTATCAGTTCGAGAAGTTTATCGGCGTGAAGGTCTGGGAGGCCAAACCACGGAACGTGTTTTCCTGTCGTTCACAGTAATCGTGTCTCCTTGGTCGTCGAATCGATCGAGTGATTTAATGTTCGACTCGTACAACTTCCTCCGTCTGAGATATTATCCTCGGTGTCATCGGAGAGTAATTGAAGGCGGGACAGTAGTCCATGGAATATCAAACAAACTTGATTGATATTCCATGGCATTTTTAAACTTCCTCGATGTATAAAATAGAAAAGCTTCCTTATAATTCAAGATTCTCGAGAATGAATCCATAAATTAAATATACATTTACCGAAAAAGAAAGTTCTACTCTCATCAGTACACGAGCAATCATCGTTCTTCGTGATAAAGCTTGAAAAAGGATTGCCTGACGTGGGGGTTAACCATCCATCGCTGCTATCCGATTGTTCAAAAATTTTTTGAACTCCAGAATGGAGTACATCCATCTCGAGACGTATGGGAGTGGTGTACAAAAAGGAATGAAAATGTCAGACGGAATTGTCGGAGATTCACCGATAAACCGACGTTGATATCGAGTCAGAGTGTCTACGGGGTTGTACAAGTCGGTTGATTTATGAAAGAAAAAAAAAGTCACGCCACTCGGGAATCCAGAACGCAGGGGGTTCCGATGCGGTTAACTCTGTTTAGGGACTGGGGACACGTGCGCGTCTATTCGAGCGACAATAAAACTCTCCAGGTTGTTCCACGGCCTTTTTCCCGGGGTTGTTCGACGCCGTGCCGCGCCACGTCACATCGATAAACCTGAGAACGGACAGCCCGCCAAATTGCAACGGTTTTCGTTCGTTTCGCACGCAGAATGGGAAAGAATCCCGCTGGAGAAACACAATATCCGCTTTAATCTTCCGCCGAGATCGGGCTCACGTATCGCGAGGATCATAAATTCGGGCCCCGAAGAGAACCAGCCCCTTCGTATTATCGCAATTCTCGCCTGCGAATATGTATTTCCGTTTCGTGGTCATGCTGCTACAAAAAAAAAAAAAAATTGAACTCGAAGCCGGAAAGAACAAGAGAAAGAGAAAAGGAAAAACAAAAAACCTCGGAAACGTTCGTGATGAACGCGACGAATTCGTTTCATTAAATTCCAAACGCGGATCTCCCGATACCGACATCGATGGCTGACCCAGAACGCGAGAAGTATGTGGACGGTCCAGCCGGATAGGACTTTCGAATCTGATGTTCCCGCTGCGGGGGAAAGTTCTGCGAATTTAATAATAAAGGGGTGACGTGTCTCCGTCGCCATCGGGAAACATCACCGCGGACCACTTTTTTCCACGTTTATTTGTCGAACGAAAGCACAGCGGCAAAATCGAATTCTCGTTAACCCGTCAGAGCGGTCGCTGATCGATCCTGACATTCTTGTCCGGGACGACGATTCCCTTGGATCGTCCCGACCCGATTTAAATTACATTTCATCGCTCTGCCACCCTCGTACAAAGCGGACCCGTCGCTTATTTTGCCAATCTCGGGGTTCGGGGATTCTTCTGTTCGGAATCGTACGATCCGTGGCCGAATCCACCCCACGAACAGTATGAGGAGGCGTCTCCGATACCTAATTGCAAAAGGAGCCTGAGCTTCGTTCCTGAATATCGTCCCATTGGTTTGCGGGTCTTTCCCATTTTGGGTTCACTGTTATCGACACCAACCCTTGGTTAACGGTGAAATAAGACGAAACGAAAGTCTTCGCGGTACGGTGGGGTAGGTACTTTCCTTGGCATAGCAGTAGACTGTTCGTTAGAGTGGTTCTTATATGGATAAAAAAAGGTTTTCCTCGAAATTTCATTGTGGCACTTTTTGAACATGTTTTATACCCCTAGGAAACTACTACGGTATTTTTTTTATATCTTCTAAATGAATTTTAGGGGTCGCTACCACTTACAGAAAATTTACATTTTTAATGAAAAAACCGTATTACATAATCAAGTTGAACTTTTCATTTTTAGAAATGAAGATACTTGGTTATTGATACTTATAGTTAATAAAGATGGCGTTTCTAAGAGAAAATAGGTACTAGAAAATAGGAATCTTCAGTATTGATTCAAATTCAAACTGAGGACAACGAGCACGTGTCGGTCCACTACAGTGGAATAAATTTATATTAACACGAAAACTTTGATACCCGATAGCGACCTGTAAACACTAATCAAATTAAAAAAAAAATTACATTCACTCAATTTTCAGATGGTAGAACTAAATAAAAGGGTGCCCCGATATAAGTTTAAGACTTCGATTCTAAAAACCACCCTATTGTTCATAGCTTCCATTTGCATTTTAATTGACTCATCAACTGCAAGCACAATGTACCCTTTCAGCCTTTGCTGGTCTTACAGTTAGTTTAATTATATATTTGGATGCTTTCCCGGCAGGCTTCTGTTTGAGTAACTTCTCGAGTCTGACAATTTAACAGAGAATATTGTAATGGATACGTTGATGCTCGAATTTCTTTTGTGAAACATTATATCGAAAAACAGATTACTGTTTAATACCAACGAACTGGAAATACGAAGTGTTGTATAATTTCAGTGAAGGTGAATGTGCAAAAAGATTCACAGATGAATTGTTTGATAGGAAATCAGAATAAAAGAAGAGAATTCATCCACGTCATGGACAGATACATTAATATCTGTGATATGGACTATTTCAAGTTTCTGTTGATTCGAAATTGTTTCAGTCTCGCTTATCAGGAATGCTAATTAGTATAAGTCAATCTCCAGATGAGAAGTACATTGGTAACACAATCAGTATTAACGACTTGATAAACGCAATTATATAGAATTATGGGTTCTATACGAGGCTCGCTAATTTAAAAAATAAATCACAGTCCTGTTCAAACACAATTAAGTCATGAATCATGATATAGCAAAGAAATCATAGAGGGCAGATAAGTCTCCGCGGGATCAAAAAAGAAATAACATCACCACGGTACATTAGCTTCCGCAATCTTCCATATAGATAATTCAATTACAGCGATCACCCAGCCTCGGCCATCCACTCAGCGACTATCTAATTGAATAACACGACTCGGTGCTTCTTGTGCAAGCGTTCAAAAGGCCGAAGCTTCAGGAAATTACTTTACTACCGATCTTCCGAAATATTATTCCGCAAAACACGAGGCAGGGATGTTTATCGAAAACAAACGAAGGTGAATCAACGGCAGAGTTTACACTCCATGCTTTATAATGGTAATTTGCTTATGGATCATAACTTATGACCTATTATTCACTAAATAATGACCTATTAATCTTGGCCCATTACATTTACATCTTAAACCTCTTTCATAATTTTTCTTTAATTCCCTTTCGTCTTCCACATTACTATAGCCGACAATGTCCAGCATTATTAACTCTCGTCACTGAGTACTCTAAGTAGGTGAGACCATTTTTAAAAATACACTAAAGGTTCAAAACTTCGAGGTATCGGCAGTAAGAGTACTAAATATTATTCACTCGTTATAATACTAATGATAAAATTATGAAACGTTCAAGTGATAACATTAAGAATAGAAGCTACTACGCATGCTTTTCACTACTTACTGCAGAACCTGATAGGGATGCTAGATGTACCAGCATGGTGTGTCTAGGAGTTTATTGTTCTTTTGTTCAAAAACAACAAGTAATCGTCTGCAGACTCTAGACTCCTCGTACCAAACTGTGCTATTGCCATTATAATACCTTCATCAAAGTTCTAAAGTTGCACATTTTAAGATAATCTTTCAAAGTAATGTCACCTAGTTAGAAGCTTAACTACACCTGTATTATAACTGGGTGTTCAACTACTAGTGTCAAAAACATTAAGAGGTGATTCTACGTTTCAAAACGAAAATTTAAAATGACGAAATTGTGTTGGGGATTTCATTTACAAGTTATTTACAGTAAGAAATTAGTGTAAAAAATGCCTAGAACTAGGTAATCTGCGTACAAGTGGTACGCCTAGGGCAAGACAGTCACGGCACGTATGCTATCAATGTTTGAGAAAAATACACCTTTACCTTTTGGTGTAAAAAATGATCCGTAACTCCTGCACCCAAGCCTGGACTATCTTCTTGCAACATTTCATAAGAAACCACATACGAATCGTTGCACGCCATTAAATCTGGATATTCGTCCAAATTCACAAAGGAAACCACACAGAATAAACAGAAAAAAGAATTAACACAGAATAATTTTATAATTAACACAGAATTCACAGGATAAACACGAAATAAATGAAGTTAAATTGAACTTAAACCCGCTATAATAAATAAATGAATACTATAAAAGAACACAGATACTTTTCTACGAAGGCTATTTAGCGCCGATTACATGCGTTCGCGTTGACAACTGGCACTGAACTGAGGAAACGTTACTGGAATCCACGCAAAAAACAGAAAAGTAATAAAAACGTGTAAACAACGTGTAGGTATAGAACTACCTGTTCTTCGGCCGGATCGTCACCGTTCGTGACTGACCTGCAAATGTTGGGATTGTATCAAGGGACATATCACATGTTTAGCTACAAACCAAGGGCGTTTTTTTAGGGACTCCAGTGTACGCGTCGTAACTGTCGTAACCTCCGCTTACCACTTGTATCCAGATTGCTTGTTTTCAGACCTTTGTAACCCCAATTTTTGATTGTCAATACCTTTAAAACGAAGCCTCCAACACAATTTCGTGAATTTTCGTTTTATTTTTACGTGTAAAATTATTACTCGTAGAAAAATATCTATTTATATACGATAGTATAGGTTTCAAATAGTAATTATTATTCTCTATAGATCTACTATACGTCGATGCTTAATCTCATATTTTGATCACGTTCGAATTACATGGTGAGTCGACCCATATATTCGAATTCAAATTAAATTCGATAATAGTCACTGGGAGTGAGGCAGAGACTATCCGAAGAATGGTGGGAAATTTCTCGACGAAAACTTCTTGATCAATTGAACCGTACAAGATTCTACAGGCGGATGTACGTGATCCTGCATAAAAACGGTTTAAACCATTTATTAATTCCTTTCCAAACTTAATTCTTTAACAAATTGCCCTCAAAATTGTTTTACCTATGGGGAGCTAGAAACTTTACGGTTTTTCGCAATAGTGAACTACAAACTCATCGAAATTTTCTAAAATAAACATATAAAGAAATAAGGACACTAATCTTAAAATAACAATGTATTATAAGCTACACGAAAGCAATGTACTATTACCAGATCCACCAACACTATACCCTTACTCATCCAAAGCGTAAAAATAAAAGATAACTGTAGCAATTGTTTCTGATCGCTTCTCATTCGAATCGTTGTATTAAATTATACGGCGACTGAGTTTCGCCTCTCGAGTGCAAACAGTTAGCTCTAATGACCGATCGCCCATCGCTTTTCAACCTTCCCTAAAAAATGCCCTACAAACCTTAAAACGGTATTTCGATCGGAACCGTTAATCCTGAAATTCAACCGTCACTTAGTCCCGCGGCAAATTGGCGCACACACGTCGCGTGGCTGCATCGTTGAAAGTCTCCTTATCCCCGACCGTTAATTCCTTTCTGAATACTTCACCGTCGACGACGAGAAACTTCATTAGCGGCGACGACACTAATTGCTTCGCTTGATATTCGTCGATGCCGGGGACAAACGGAGGCGCACGATGGCTTTCGAAGGGTTCTTCGTGGTTAAAGCCACCACGACTATTATCGTCGGCGGACCGACACTTGGCCGTTCCTTCTGGTACTTCCTTGCATGAACCGGAAAGAATCGCGAAATTTTCATCGCCAACCGTAGCGAGGCGCGCGTTGTAACTCGATTAAGGTCTCGCGAATGTGTACCTTAATTAACTCGACGCAGGATTCGAGTGTCTCGACGACCAATTCCACAAAAGCCAGGCTAGGAGGTGGATAGTTAACAGTTCGACAGACAATTCGAGGGGTCGCGTAACGAGTCTCGAGGTTGGCGCGCAGCAATCTACCTGGCGTGATGAGGTGGCACAGTCCGTGGATGATTAAAATAATGCTTTCTTCGAATACCGATGAGGGAGAACACACCGAAGTCAAGCGGAATGTTTCGACGACATCAAGCCCCGATTGTAATTTTCCGGTGGGTTAAGTCGTTTAATTAAACCGCGCGATCGGGAAATACCATCGATTCCGGTGATTGCTCGTCATAACGAGCCGTTCTGTTACGCTGGATTACGTGTTGTCAACCGTTAATTACGAAAGGTGATCCCGGGGTAGGGCATTCGAAAAATAGCACGGTAACACTGGCAATTAAACGTTCGGCTTAGTCAACCGTAGGTATTGTAACTGTAATCGTTCATGGGGAGATTTATCAATAATACACTGAATATCCCGTTCTAGTGAACCGGAGCCTCGAGGATGGTTCAGTTTAATGCTCGAACGGAGCAGATCGCGGGGTACCTGTAAATCAACGATTTAAGTACTGGAAACACGGAAACGGAAGAAAATACTCGAGAGAACTGCCCAGTGGTAGAAGAACGCGCAACCAAGCAACCCCGGGGTCAAAGAAAGAAGACAGCCGGGTAAAAAGGGAATTTACGAGCGTCGGGTGGAAAAACGATAAGACACACCGCTCGATCACGCTGTCTCGCGCGTTTTGATTGAACATGAAACGAGGGAACTTGAACTGACTTTCACGCGTGCCTGACAATTTGCATGCGACAACATCGTGGCCTGCATATAGGAGATAACGCCTTTTATGTTGCTGTTAAACCGTTTAATTCCCCTCTCAGTGAAAGGATCGTCGGACTTCTCGAGAGTGTTGCAACTAGTGTGAAAGGTGCGAAGAAAACGATACACCTGTGATTGGTGTTCAATATTCATGTCCTTCCAGTGGCTCCTGGCAATGTGTCGATGTCGATTTTCCGTGGAAACATTGCATATTTATGGGAAAAACTAACTGCAGGCGACACACGCGCATAGCTACTTTCAATTGCAAACTGCCACTTCAATTTTCATTTTTTTAAATATCTACATGAAGGAGGGGTTCTCATATAACCGGTTCAAAAATAAAAAAATTTGTTACGTAAATCAAAGGTACAACATTTCAAATATATGCTCCAAAAATTGCAAAGCCGAATTCGAAATAATAAAGAAGTTACAGCCTTGTTAGTGTGTCGCGCCAAAGTTCGAAACGGCAAGTGACATACCTTTAAACATATTTCCAAAATTGGCATGCAAGATAACTTAAAAGCTAATCAATTACATAGTCGAATAGGATCACAAGACTCGCATAATATCGGCTTCATATATTTCAAGATCGTTTACTCTCACATTATCAGAAGTTTTTTCAACAAAAAATTCGCAAAAATCACTTGCTTCCAGAGCTGTTACACGAGAATCCTCCTTAACTCCGTGCAATTCTCGTGAAAAGTATGACTGAATCAACAACGTTAAACTGTCAAAGAGATCCATACATACAGCTTTGAATTTAGATAGAATGAAATTAACGTACACTTTCGCTCTTACCGAACTTTAACAATAATTTTCAAGATCCAGTGAAAATTTCGGATAGAACGTTCCACGTAGTAAATTCCAAAGTAAGCGTGAAATGCAGTTCAAACACCGAATATATCCGTTTCGCGGTGGCATCTTCGGTGTCTCTAAGACAAATCGTGTGTCGCTTTTAAGCGGCTCGTCTTGCACAGTAGTCGCACTGTTAGTCGCTGGGATCCCGTGACAGCCAGAACGGCAAATTTCAACGGTTCCGCTCGGGATTAGCGTAATTTGTGGACGACGACATGCAGTTACCAGCTACCTTAACCGTTGAAACGGCACAACGACTGGATCCACATCGAAGCAAACAATCCGTGGCAAACTTGTACATATCTTGCGGGGCGACGAGTAACTGGCTTCGTTGACTTTATCGGATCTGTACGATAGGGCCACTACCTACGTTGGGGATCGCGCACGCTCCCCCGTTTCAAAGATCTTCTTAATATTCGTGGTCATTTTTACAGATACCCAGATAAGACACAACCTACTTCACGTCGGCTGTGAATCACGCCGTTAAGCTGCGTCTACACTGTACAGCAAAACAATGTTATATAGCTAGACTGCAGATTTTTATGCAAAATGAAACTTTATGAAGTGATTTCTGAAAACATGAGTAAAAATAGACAATTCTTTCCCTTCCCAGGAATTTAATGCGATAAAAATAAAATAAAAAACTTGTTAAACTCGATCGAATTTTTGTCCTTAAAAGCCTTTAAATTTTCATTCCAAAAATTTGTTGTGTACCTACTATAGCGTTTAAGGCATACAGAAAAAAAAAACACACATTAAATTTTAAGGGGTGTTTTCACCCTGAAGAACAAACAAATTGCCTAAAAGAAATTTGCCTACTCCTTGTACTGAGTTCTCCATTAAATCTGCAAAGTTTCAACTATCTGAATTTTCAGTTTACCGAAGTTCCCTAGTCAAACTTGCAGCACTTTCAGTCATAAATATATTAGAATGTATACAACTTTTTTAACGTCGACGAGTTCTGACCGTTAAATGGAAAACTTACAATACACCCTTTCCACAACCAAGTCCGCACCGACTGATGCATCGTTGGGTGAAGGTCAACACGTTCAACATTGTTTATACCATTTTATAAAGGTTGATTTTCAGTTACCATGTAAATATATTTGAAACATAAAAGGTAAATCCAAGGAAAATGTTATTTATCTACAATTTCATTTATCATCCCCTAAAAGATTAGGGAGACTTCCCCTCGTAACAAGCTGATCGGTGCGATATCGCATAAGCTGATACTTCTACCGACAAACTATAACCACTTTTACATACTGTAATATTTAGGGGAGGTGTTTCAAAGAATATGATCGAACTGGTAAACGTAGAAAACAATCCTGCGTAGTAAAGTTCGGTAAATTCGGCAAGTTGTTTGAGCCTGATCGGGGAGAGGCCGCATATTCGTCGGCCGCTAATTGGGAATGCGCGAAATTACCAAGAATTAACCGATTAATCGGCCGGCTGGAAAGGGAGACAAACGCGTTGAGGGAGAACTCGTTAGCGCTGCGGCTGACCGCCCGTTTACAACCGATTTCACGCAGCGTGCCGCCGCTCGCGACTATAATTTCGTTTATGAGAAAGGAAATGATTACGGATAAAAACAGGCACTGATGTGTCTTACCTTTTATTTTTGAATTGGAACTAATTTCCATTGCAAAGAAATTTAAAATTACGGTACGTATG